AAAATCATAGTGTTGATTTTGAACTAATAGGTCTATGACATAGTTTTAACTCCTGAAGGTCGTTAGACATGGTGGTGGCTAAAGAGGAAGACAGCTTTTGATTTAAGAAAAGTCTGGATAACAAAGTTGAATGGTCAAAGATTATTGTAACGAATTTAATATTACATTTTATATAAGTTACAGTCTTAGAAATTTATTTATAGTGAGAGAGACTGCTTGAGCGGAGGAAGGGATGGTAACTGTGTCTGTCTTTCCATTATTGGCCTGCTAGAGCAAGCTGAAGCAAAATAATGATAATGAAACAAAACAACCCAGCTGACCTTGTTAAATTCTAATGAATAATGAACAAGACATGCTTTGAAACTGGTTGGGAGACCATGTAAAATTAGGTAGAAGCTACCGGAAAATGGGAAGTTTAAAATCTTATTTAAAATTTAAATCTTTTAGCAATAATATAAAGAAAAATGAACATTGAAAATGAACAGTTAACATATGTGTGTCTAGTATGAGTGCGTATGATGGTGACAGCACTTTATGTCTTGTATGTATTAGTTTGGGGTACTATTATTTCCTGATTTTGAGGATATTGTGTCATTAACCTCTGGAATTAGTGTTTTATCATTACAGATGGGTTAAGTGAAATGACCAACTTTAAAAAAGTTGATAATTCTAAGACAATCTGATGAAAAGACAATGCAGAACATGGGACGAGCTTTAATTGGAGTGGTTTTCCAGCTCTGTCTGCTATTGGTAATTATGAATGCTTTCGTCATTTATGATATTGAACTGAATTACTCTCTGGATTAGTATTTTATATAAATTGGAATTGTAAAGAAGATTGCCGTCCATTATGGGGTAAAACTCTTGTCTAAATTCAACTGAGGGTCTAAATTTAAATAGACAACTAGGTGGGATCATAAGGATAAACGTAGGAAAAAAAAAAATATATATATAGACTTGACGGCAGAGAGACAAAGTGACACATTGGCTAAGTCACTATCCAAATTATCCAGAGTGAGCTCCCTCATTTTTATTGAAAGGCCGGAGGGCGAACAAAGAAGGAGTGAATATAACTTCTAAAAAGAAAAGGTTTTATTTCTCAATCCCTTAAATGTATGTATGACATTAGATGTCTAAGAAAACTACAATTTAATAAAGGTAAAAAGAGAAAGCAGCTATATGGCTGTGGGCTGGGATCTGAGTAACATAATATTTTGGTTTCTGTAAAACTGTAAAGATAAGTGGAACTGAGACAAATACTGTGAGAAGTAGTTATAATGAAAAATAAAGTTGAAGTTAATGATAAGAAAACAAGAGTATTGAAGAATTAATAAAATACCATGATTCCCCTAACGAGGGAACTTTAAGTGTCACTAGGCTGACAGTGGTGAGAGACTCGGATGCAGAAGGAACTGGCATGTAGGGCAAGATGGAAGAAATATAGTAGAAGAAAATGTATGTTATGAAAATACAATTTCTGATAGGATTTATGGAAGTCAAATTAAGTTTAAATGGTATGAAAAAGGTTAGGGTTAGACATTGTATGATTGACAGGGATTCAAGTGATATAAGGATAAGGAATGAACAAAAGCTTTATTAAGCAGAATGGGGAACGATCCTATATTTTAGTGGTAAAATAATGACTGAAATGATGATGTGAATTTGTTTTATTTTATTTCTATTTTTTGAAACAAACAAAAAAGGGTATAAGATGTTATACAATTAAAATGGTACATGCTATGTGACTGTAAACTGAAGGATGATTTCAGTAAAGACTTAAAGGGCTTACATCGATTATTATGGGTCTTAATTATTAATATTTTATTGTTTGTTGTTTATTTTTAGTTAGACAACCATTGTGTTTTAAACCTAAAGGGTCTATAAAAGGGGTAGTGAAAATAATGGATTAACCATCCAACTTTGTTTATAATAAATGGATTTGGAAATCATAATTTTATAAATAAATAAAAAACTAGTGCATATATTCTGGTATTCATGATTATAGACAATGTCTTTATTTAGGATCTGAGTAGTGACTGTGGATCTAGCCCATGCTAGTAGGAATACAGCAATAGTGCTTGCTTATTTAGCCTGGCTTCCAAAGAAAAAATATGTACTTGTTTCGTAATCAGTTATGTGTTTTATAAAAATTTTAACCTGACTGATAAACTGAGGAAGAATGACATTGATGTCCTGTTGTGAGTGGAAGGTGGGAGAGCCTCTTAATGGGGACTGGAATTTTTAGTATCCAGCATGTCCATGACGAGGTGAAGAGACAAGTGTGACCCGGCAGGGGAGCATGCGTCACCACTCCTCCCTTCCGTAGTGACCTCACTGGTTAGACCAGACGTGGCGGTATTGGACCCCACATTGGTCTAAAACGGGGGACTGAAGGGTTGGTCAAAATCCCTTGCCTCTTCAAATACATATATAATCATATATCATTTTGAATGGTTATATACTTCCTTTATAAAAATCAATAATCAAATATATTCATTATCACATAATAATTTTTATATTCTTGTGCCTGTGAAATTATATTTTCTTAAATGCATGGATGCAAGTAACCAGTTTCTTTTAGGTGCCTTCCAATCTTACTTTGAGATTGCACATAGTACACGCAGGACACGAAGGCCACGTAACCCACAAGGCCGTTTGTCTCTTTCTCTGGGATCAGTAGAAAGGTTAGAGGGTCCTAAAGGCAGCGTGGGCACATATGATTCTTCGCTGGAAAGATGGTCAAGCTATATTGAGCGTTACTATCAAACTTTAATTGTTGTATTAAAATGTATTCTTTCCAGTATATTTCCTTCCTTGGGAGTAAATGCCAGTGATCTGTTTTTCTCCCAAACGAGTGAATGTTTTAGCATTATGTTTTGGTATACTTAACTGATAATAAGGAGCTCAGACTCTCTTCAGCCTTGATGGGAGCTGTTATTTGCTAGTGTCTGTTATTTGTGTGTGTGTGCGTATGACATTCTATGTAGGTTCTGGACGGTCGGACCAGACACCCCGGCGCCCTTCTCTAACCTGCGAGGCCACCACAGGCCTAAATCCAATGAGTGGACGACAACTATCTTACTAATGGCGATAGGCACCCCTATCTCCTCACATGTGTTAAATTGTTTAGGCTCTTAATGTTTCTTAGCCAATGAGAATCATTCAACCTGTAAGCAATGACGTAGCTTAGACCTTGGAAATGGTATAACTGCTGTGATCTTTGTAACTGTAAGCGAGGCGGCCTACGAACTCCTGTGTGAGTCTTGAAGCTGACTTCTGCTGATGAAAATGCAAACTATCTTCAGTAAAACTTTTCTTTAATTTTTTATAATTCTGACTCCGGGTCTTCATTCTTCATATCTGGTTCTGGGTCTTTGACTGTATACCCCTTACAATAGCATAAAACATTTGCGCAAAATGCAGTTTCCATCCCATGTGTTCAAGAGAACAAAATCGTCCCTTCCTGGGAAATTTGCACAAAATATCTGTAATAAAAATTGAAGTTTCCACGGTGGCTCTTTTTTCGTACATCATAAAGTCCATTCCCCTAAAAACCAAAAAGATCCAAAAAATGTCATAAAGGCATCGTAAATCAAGCGGTCTAATCAAATCCAAGTCTTCTAAAGAGACATCACATAATGGCTTTATATGATGAACAGATTTACAAACGTGCATACTGATGTAAACACGGACATTCAACTGATAGTTGAGTTTTAGTGACATTACTACTAGGCCTGTAGCGGCGCGTCGATGACGTCGACGCTTCGACGTCAAAAATTCGTCGACGTCATATTTTTTTGTCGAAGCTTCTTTATTTATTTATTTATGTATTTATTTTTTTGCACCGTTCCCGGCGGTACAGCTCGCCACACACACGTGGGAGACCGAAACATTGCAGAATCGAGGACGAAACAGCAACCTCTTCACAGAATTCACAACAAAGCCATGCAAAAGTCCCAACAAAAGAAAAAGTCCTAAAAAAACCCAGCTCGCACTAAATCATCGAAGGTATGGGAATACTTCAAATTTAGTCCCAAACGTAAAGGTGTCGTTATTTGCGCTCTTTGTCAAATGGAGTTGACATCCCAAGTCTCCCGCATAGTGATAGCGGCTCCCTGATGACCGCAAATTAGTTAAAATCTCCCGGAATCTAGAGCTTGCGAGCTCCAAACCGTGTAGCGCGCGCAGCGAGGGAGAGAGCGAGAGACCTTGCGCGTGTGTGTGCAAATGTGCGTGTGTGCCTTATGAAGCGCATGTAAACCCCACCCCCGTCAACAAAACCGAAAAATCAGTCCGGATGTTTTTTATGAGCACTGAAAACATTAAAATGAGCACCACATCCAAGTGTGATAGGGCTCATTTGAGTAGCCTACCAAACATTTTACAGTGTAGATACTCTGTAAGAACCAGATCAAAATTGTTGTGCATTGAATGTGCACTCCTGCAATTTCCATGTTACAAAAAAGAATCGTTCAATTAGTCGTTAGATTAGTCGACTAATCGATAAAATAATCGACAGACTAATCGTTTAAGTAATAATCGTTTACCCCAGCCCTAATTACTACATTAAAGTACTTTATATAACGTTGAATATAATGTATAATAATGCCATGGGGAATATTTGTGGGTCCTAATAATAATGAAATAATACTAATATTATTTTAATAATAATAATAAACTTTTGCTTTAAAATATTGTGATCGTAAAGTATCGTGATTTGTATCGAATCATGACATGAGTGTATCGCTGCACCCCTAACTGATGCGCATTTTGGGGTTTCCATCTAATGTTTTTTATGCAATATCCCAAAATGTGCATAAAAATCGGAGGATGGAAACATAGCTAATGTTGAAAAACTATGAAAAAACGTATTGTTGAGACCTGAATAGGCGACCCAAAAAGTAGCCTTCAATGTTTGCGTGTATCCTTGATCTTTTACATCTCTGATCTGCAGAAAAACACTCTGTACTACGACTGAATGTGTACAAATCTATGTTTACCTAGTAAAGATGTCTGTTGATATAGTTTCCAGGTACTGTAATGCATCAGTGATCTGATGGACAGCCTCTTCCCTCCTCAGGTCTGGCTGGATGAGAGGTACAGAGTACACCTGTCCCTCCAGGTAACGTTTCTGCGTCATCCTACACATACACACAGATACACCCCAATGAATCATTTAATCTGTGTTAAAAATGTCGCTGAACCACACTTTAACACATAAACTGTAAATATAGTGTTATATTTTGCCATGGCAGTAGCTAAATTGATATGTTGTGTTACAGGTATACACTGCATATTATAGGCTACTGAAGTTGGCACCCCACAATACTCTTTTTGTTGCAATGGACAATGGATGGAAATGCAAATTTAATATCCTCTGGGATTTGTGTTTTTCGCCCCCTTTCATCACAGTTACATGGGTCACGTATCTAGATCCAATCTAGAAGACTCTAATCTAGTACAGCAACATGAAACACTGATCCATCCTTAACAGGAACAAACCCAGAGGCTTAACCAAATGAAAGTCACATGATGACTCGGACACAGGTTTAGATAAAGTCTAACAAACAGTGTTATGCTGTATGTCGCAATACAAACCCCTTAATAAGAGTGTATAATAACAATATGACAATTATCTATTTGAAAAAATCAGCTGAATTTTACAATGATTCTCATTAACGTTAGATCTAACGTTACACAACGCAGTCTTCTTCCAGCTATCTCCGGTGGAAAAAACATAGCGGCAAGAAACTCAAAGGGATGCCTATAAGATGTCTATGAAATATTGCTATAAAAATAAATGCAAGTACAAGGGAACACTGTACCTGACCATTTATATATCAAAAGCACAAACGTTCAGAAGCTTGAATGCGCTCGGAGTCTGTCAGGATCAAAACTTCCGCACTCTCAGATCACGTGACGCCTGACGTCGGCGCGTAACAGGGAAAAAACGCATAATAAAATAATAAAAACAAAGCAAATTTGAAAGTTTAAAATCTGTATACTATCAGTATGTTGAGATTAAATAAAATGTTTATTAAAAGGCTATTAAAATGATGATAATGACTCTAATGTCTAAGACATTATATGTTTTAAACTTTGTTTTATTGTTAATTATTAGATAATATTATTTTATAATTTATTATAACAATTATTGTTCATTCCTCATTTTATCACGAGGCATTCCTCTTGTATTTTTCTGTAGGCTACCTTTTGTGTTGGTCATAAGAATATTAAAATAATTATGAAAGAATATAAACATCTACCAATAAACACTTGACTTGGTGTTGGAGTAAACTGGAAAGACGTTTGGACGTTTCAGATTAGCTAGTAGGCCTACTGGGTAGGCTATGATGTTCACATTACCTTTTACATTTTTATCTATTTTTATTATTATTTGCATTGACAAAACAAAATTCTGTATCAAAATTTATAAGCAAGACAAGTAGTTTGTTTAGGCATGGGTTGTATGGAATTACAAACCTGCGCACATATTTTCAAAAGCACATAACTATAGAATCAATTCTGAATGTGCACGTGAACGCCGTCAGCGTTAATCACAGGTTCGCGTTTAAAGTCTGATCATTTCGACGGAGGTGAATCAATCAAAATTAACTTTAGCTGGAAATAACATTATTCAAGAACCGCTATAAAACCAAAACAATCTGTTACCTTAAATTATATGTTTATCTCTGTAAAGCTGCTTTGAAACAATCCATTGTTAAAAGCGCTATATAAATGAAGATGACTTGACTTGACGCTTATAGTATTAGGCCTATTTTAGTGAGCAACAATCATGTTAATGCACTCTGCTGGAGAAAAAGAACATTCATTTAGTAACTAAGCAACAGAAATCTAAATGTGTAACAATAAAATAAGACTCTAGGCATAGGCATTTTAAATATACATTTTCCTACATGGGATGTTAATTTTTACAGAAGATACAAACCGGAGCCATGTCGAGGCAGTTAATAATGATGATTCTTTATTAACAACAATTCCGAATCAATTGTGGGAATAATCAAAAACGAAATTAATAAACAAAGTAAATCTCGATATCTATTATTTAGCTTTGAGACTCAATTGAATAAACCCATAAACCACTGTTATTGCGCCTCATTGCGTGCCCCCTGACGTCACTCGCGAATCCGGCCACGCCCCCTTCAATCCTGTGCTTGGACATCCTCGCATCAGCAACACTCCGCGCATCCCTTCATGCGCGCTCTGGACACGGATGTGGAGGCGGAGGAGGGGGTCTCGCGCTCTTACTGTCTCTCTTTCTCTCTCTCTCTCAGTTCAGCCATTTAAATATCAACCCATACATCAGGGGGAGGCTACTGACACCGAGACGCCCTGCTTGGATCACATTATTGCTCGGCTTTTTCAAGAGGAGCGTCGCACGGGATGTCAAGCCTCCTGGAGAACCCTCTGCAGGCGGTGCTCTATCTGAAGGAGCTCACCGCCATCGTGCAGAATCAACAGAGTCTGATCCAAACCCAGCGATACCGGATAGACATACTCGAGCGCCGGCTGGAGGATCTAGCGGGTGAGAACCGGCAGCTCCGGGACTCCAGCAGCAGCCATCACCGGCACCCTCCCCGCTATCACCCGCCTCCGCCCCCCCGCACCTCCAGCCTGCCCCGAACCAGCAGAGCCGGGACACCCCCGGTTCAAACTCAGCAGCTGCAGCAGCAGCAGCAGCATCATTCCCCTCTGGACATGCAGCTTGTGCCTGCTGGACCCAGCAATGCCAGTCCGGACTCTGCTGATGAAGATGATGATGACGCTCAGAACCCCTGCTGTAGGTCACTGGTCCCACAGACACCTGCCACCTTGTGCCGAGCTGTGGGACTCCCACGGACATCTGAGTGAGTTCTCATACCACAGTTTCTCAAATCACTCTTTCTTTAGGAAAACACGAGATCGGTGAGATGTTGAGGCAGATTAGATGCGCCAACAGGATTACATAACAGAGGAATTTCACTATGCAGGCCACAGTGAATATGAAATTGCACATCAATAATTCAGAGATCATAAAACGAATGATGATTTGCATTTATAAAACCTTTCAGCGTGCTGTTTTTAAGATCATGTGGGTGTGTAATGAGTTATTATATGCATGCGAGAGAGTCTGTGTGTGTGTGTGTGTGTGTGTGTTTGCACTGCTATGTCCAGTCTTGAAATAACCACACACTCTAAAATGGAAGAAAAACGATTATAGGTCAGCATTAGTTCAGTACATTCACTCTTTCCAGGGCAAAAGGTCTCAAGAAAGAGGTTTTTAATGCACCTCATTATTTTGCTGCAAGAATGCATTTTAAAAAGCACTTAAAAACACTTTATTGCCAGGGATCTACATGCGCGCACACACAGATTTATGCATCAAGTGAGGCTTTAAGTGACATTCCCATAGTGTATGTGAATTTGATCTGCCAGCTGGAATCTAATCCACAGTAAGAGAGAGAAAGATTGAGAGACTGAGTGTGTGTGTGTGTGTGTGTCTCATCTATTACGGCTGCTCATCTGCTTCAGTGCACATCTCACGCTGCATTTGTAGAGTATTCCCTGTGTGTGTGTGTGTGTGTGTTAACCCCTTGAGCAAAACTGGAATGATACATTCTGCCCTGATTTGTTTAATTGTAGCATTATCGTTTCCTTTAGGGTAAAAAACACTTAGTCTTGAGTCTGAAAGTATGTTACCTTGCTGTGCGTTTATGACAGCATACATTTAGTTGATCTGGAAGTGTGAGACTCATTGCAAATGAGTTTTAAGGCCGAATTATGCTCATGCACGCACCTCATTAAAGTTAATCTCACATCGCTATCATCAGCGTTTCTGGTTATGACAGGTATATTTTGAGACTGCTGCATCTTTTTTAGCGACTGAAGATGGACTGTTTGCGATAGACAACATTCTGCCATCATTTACTAACCCTCATGTCATTTTCTTTCTTCCGTGGAACAAAAATGTAGCGTTGCACTTTTTTTTAAAAACCAAGAAAGCAGCTGGGAATTTTACATGCACAACAGAATATTGCATTAATAATGCATATTGCATAATAACCACAATAGCAGGAGTGTAAGGAAGTGATATGCAAATGTGATTATATTAATAGCACTTCACATTCTCATGTTTTGCTCGAGTGAGAAGTAAACATATTTGATGTGCTGTCAACAATGGAGGGCTCAAACAAGACTCACAGAAACAGAAAACAGGAAGGAGTTGGGGATTCCGAAAGAATTGTGAGCAGCCATTTATATACCCTTGCTTTGTGAACATTTCATTTCGAAATTCATTTAAGTATGTTGATTAGCATCAAGAAGGCTGGTTCTCAACTGCAGGTCTGTTCTGATAGAGTTGTAGACACCTGGAAGAGCAAATAACCATTTGTAAAGTAAAAGGAAATATGACTCAGACTACATTAAATACAGGCTCACTTGCATCAAGGGCATGGTTTTAGCCAAGTAGAATTTGTTTTCTGCAGTGAATGTCTGGCTGTCATTTTGGTTGCTATTTCCTGTAGCTTAAGTAGAAGAGTATGAAAGAGTTTACCAAATGCATACATTTTCTTAAAGGAGAAAATTAGCCCATGATTTACTCAACCCTCAAGCCATCCTAGGTGTATATGACTTTCTTCTTTCAGACGAATACAATCAGAGTTATATTAATAAACAACCTGCCGCTTCCGAGCTTTATAATGGCAGTGGATTGCAACCATCAGTTTGAAGCTCAAAAAAGTGCATTCATCTATTATAAAAGAACTCCACACGGCTCCGGGGGGTTCATAAAGGCCTTCTGAAGCAAAGCGATGAGTTTGTGTATGAAAAATATTAATATTTAAAACTTTATAAAGTAAAATAACTAGCTTCCGGACAAACGAATTCGACTTAAGTGTAAAGCGCAACTTAAGAGAGTAATGCGACGTACTGCTGATATTTACGCTACGCCATGACGCACTACGCTACTTTCGTCGTTTGGCTGGAAGCTATAGTTATTTTACTTTACAACGTTTTAAATATGAATATATCCACTGCCATTATAAAGCTCGGAAGCGTCAGGGTGTTGCTACAAGAAAGAAGTCTGAAAGAAGAAAGTCATATACACCTAGGATGGCTTGAGGGTGAGTAAATCATGGGCTAATTTTCATTTTAAAGTGAACTACTCCTTTAAGGCCCAATAATCTGGATTCTGAAACAAAACTAGTTCAGTATCATCACACTAAGCTAATATAAGTGCTTGAGGAAGACAAATGAAATGACATGTAAAGAATAGTATTAATTGCCGTAATGTGGATTTGAACATTTTCAGGAGTCAGACCGTCTTGCACCAGTTCTGCTGTCCAGCACCAGAGGCCCCAGAAGGAGATTCCAAAACCTGCTCCAGGTGAGGATGACACCTTCTGTAACAAGCCAATCAGAAGAGAGTTACAGTTTCTACATGGCAAGCAAAATGTGCAATATGAGCAACAGTAAGAATTAAGCAGTAAGGAGAGTGTGAATATACTTGTTTGCCATAGCTGTCTGCATTGGTTTAGTATTCCATCTTTTAAATGGTAGTGGTTTTCTGTTTGCGGTCCCGGATCTCTTGGCCTGAGGCATTCTGGGTAATAGGATTCAAGCCAACTGAATGTATGTGAGTGTGTGTGTGTGTGTGTGTGTGTGTGTGTGTGTGTGTGTGTGTGTGTGTGTGTGTGTGAGAGAGAAAGAGAGTTAGTGCATGCTGCAGGTGTAGTTTAACCCTGGTCCGTCCTTTGTCTGATAGACTGGAAAACTCTCGGCATGGATAAGCACCGTCACTCAGGTGGAGAGAAAGGCTGTGTGTGTGTGTGTGATGTGCATGTGTGAATGTGGCAGCTCTGCACTATTTTGGGAACTTCAAACCTGAGCTTTGTTGACTGCATATTTTATGCTGC